GCGGCTTTTAGCTTTTGTTAGTTGACCTAGCACATTTTATTACTATCTTAAATTGTGTTACAAATGCAAAAGAAAGGGAGAAGGAGGGCCATGATAACTGTACGACACTAATGGATCATACTGCTCCAGATGGGCAAAATGAAGAACGCGACGGAACTGAATGATTCGCCTAATTTTGGGCTTCGATACAAAGGGCTACAGCACTTTGAGAGTGATAAATATTTCATCTTTAGCAACAGACTCTATATCATGACATGTTTTTTAATATAGAATCCAGTTTGGAAATTCTCAGCAGCCCTTCCCAAGTATGGGACGACGTCAGAAGGCGGTCCTAAAAATCTCGAGGGGTAGCACACACGACTTTCAGTCATACCGCACTTGATACAACAATGCAAGGCACGTTGTTGACTACAAAAGTGCTCGCTAAAACGAATTTTGGCATTTATTTCAAATTGCTGTAGATGCCATTGAGGGATCACTTTCAACCGTGTACGCTATCCTTAAAAGATAACTTTTACAACTTGGTTTACTGATGATCTGAGATAGACCGATTGATAAAATTTACGGATGCATTTGCAATATTTAGTAGTATGGGTCAAGTCATTGTATTTTCGTGTGTAAGATCTTTGTACGAACAAAGTCACGAAACAGTTGTGTGCGAGGAGTAAGTTGACAATGCTACTGCTACTACTACAACTATCTTTCCTTATTCCTTTCTTTCTTTGCCTGGGTCTTTTCGAAGTCTTTCAACGTCCTTAATCCTGTTTGAAAAGCTGTGCATCGGTGGGAAAGAAATGATGTAACAAAACTTTGCATCTCCACTTCTTCTATATCTTGTCATTGAACTAAGTCAGAATATTGTCAAATATAGGGTTTTTGTTCTCGTACTTATGCACAATCAAATATGCAAGGCACATCCATCTGCTGACTTGTAGCTCTACGTTTCCTGGTGGCCCATGGGTTTGTCATGAAATTCTATAAGGAATAGTAAATTTACTGCTCAGCTAGA